TGGTATCCTTTTATTTCATTGCTGTTCTTAGCAATGTTACTTTTATTGCTCTACTCAGATTTCATGTATCGTTAACTTCAAGGGTGACATTAACTTGAGTAGGAAACCAGATGTTTTTCTCCCAACTGTAACTAAAATACTGTCTTACAATTTTATATGACAACATTTTCATGAAATATGGAATATTATGTAAGGGCTCAAATCACATCTTCAACTAAAAGCGTCTCTGTGTATATGTAGACAAGTCTGAAAATGTGTGTGCAAAATGTTTTGTTTTGTTTTAATTTCTGTTGCTGCTTATTGTACAAATATTGAACTCAAGGAACAAGGAGTCATGGTCAAAATTTCCACTGTTACTAATTTTTATGCAGGCTGCTCACCCACATAAATGACACTAAGAGATGCTGAGCATCTGCCTATAAAATGTATAAATGCATTTTTGGCTTTGCAGCTCCCAGTATCAGTTGACATATTTTGAAACTGTGAGTTGCCCAAAATCGCATAATATTTTACAGCAGGAAACAGGGTAACCATTCTGATTTTATGATGTCCATGACATGATTCTGTGATTCTATCATTTGTTTCAGCTGTTTAGACAATGTTGTTTGCCCATTTTAGTTGAGCAGGTATTCTCTAGGTACTTTTAGCACAGAATTTTCTACAGGTCTTTTTCTGAGATGTATTAATCGCTCTTTGTAGTAGGTTGGTTGAGTAGAGAGTTTTCATAGAATAGAACCATAGAATCATTTATGTTAGAAAAGACCTCTAACTGGGAAACTTTCTGCAGATGCATTGGAATTTTGTTCCTTCCACCACTAAATAAAGCTTGTTAACCTATTGCTTTGAATACAGTGTTTAAATATAGCCAGGTAGTATGTATTTGTTTTACTTACAGTCCCACCTCACTATTTGAAAATACACTTTTCTTAAATATGACCTGAGTGTAATTCTTTCTGGTACCTGGTTTTGGAAGAGATTGCTTGCCGTTCATCTGCTGTGTATGTGTTTCAGGAGAATATCTTCATATGTCCAGAACTGCTTTTCTGTCTCCAGTGGTCAGCCTCAAGTGTAACATAGGAAGCTGCTAAGCATAGAAAAACATCTGTTTAGTAGGTGAGACCTCTGAAGGATTTTCAGCTTAGTTTTGTAGAAGGAAACTGAATTTATTTATTTATTTATTTATTCATGTTGCTGTCATAGTGCTAGGAATAAGGAAGGTAGTCTGTCAAGCAGAATAAAAAATGTTATTTCCTTGCTGTATCATCAAATAAGATGAGCCTCTAGAGAGGCTCAGATAAGGGATCCTCTAAAATCCATTTCATATACTGATAAAAAGTGTAATTAATACTAGAATTAAAGTAAAGTTTTAAAAGCTGTTGCTTTACCTGCCAGAGCAGGTTCTGGTGAGGGCAAATGCTGTGTGGCATCTTGAGTTTCAGCCATCATTAAGTGTTGGAGATATTGATGGCGTTTTGCCATCAACTTGTGTTAAATTCATACAACAGTATTATTCATTGCGGAGTGAATTTTTGTAATGACAGGTTGAAATTTGCAACAGTTTTGACGTACTTTTGAGCCTTTCACTATGGAGTGCTTTTAAGAAAGCTCCAAGTCTTGGTAGATACGTCAGTGATTCTGTTACACAGTGGGGAGCATACTGCCATAGGGTGTGTGGCCGTACTGCAGCCAAGCTGCCTGATTACACCAATAACTCACTCACAGTCAAGAGTATTTCAAACAACATTTTCTTTTTCATGTCTAATAAATTTCACTTGCTTCCAATCAACCGTATGGCCAAAGTGGATGTTCCTGCTTCTTTCACCTCTCACATCCCCTCAGCTCTAGCAATTGTATATCCACAGGGAGCATCCAGATCACTGATCTGAGCTAATGGAGTAATAACATTTTTCTTGTGGTGGTTCAATATTCTGTTGTATCAATGAGTTGATCTAATTAATGTCTGCAGTCATTAGGAGAGGAGTGGGCAGAGAGAAAGAAAAGGGTGTTGGGAAGGGAGGAAGGATAGGCTTGGCCCCTTTACTGACAGCATAATGTGAAACTTTACCTCTAATTAAACCTCGTGACAGTGGTGTTATTTTTAAACTTAGCACTGTGAGTGAATTATCACTGTAATGTGAAACTGCACTGTTGCTGTGTCCTCCCAGACATACCATTCCTGTGACCCTTTTTTTTTTAATCCCCTTCTCTCATAAGTGCTCCCCTTAACTTTGTTATGGGCCTTCTAATTTACTTCTATTATGACTTCCAAACTCTAACTCCCTTTTGACTCAACAGACTCTATAAATGGAGAATCCTTGCAAGTGCTTGGCCTCTTTACTTTCCCTCCCTAAAATGAGATTCTTTACACCTTTGAGCAGAACAGTCACCACCTGCCTTCCTACACCAGTATGCTCACCTCAGGGAACTAGAAATCTGTACTCCACCCTTCTCTGTCTTAGAACCACTTGATGGCTGAGCTTGGAAGAGATCTCTGGAGATTATCTTGTCTAAATTCCCTGCCCAAAACAAGGCCAGCTAAGGCAGGTTGCTAAGGAGTGTATCTGGTCAGGTTTTGAGTATCTCCAAGGATGGAGACCTCTCTGGGCAATCTGTGCCAATCACCCTTAAAGTAAAGTAGAGTCACAAGCACGACGAAGATAATCTTGAGGCAAACAGGTACTATAAATACCCACAAGTTACGTGTTTACATGATATGCAAACAGCAGCAATTAGCCGTTCTTTGTCTGAGATCTCAGCCATTTCTCACAAAAATTGTTCACTAAATGCATTGTCAAATATATTATACATAAGATCTAGAGACTTTTTTTGGCAAGAAAGTTTTCTGCATAATAAACAATTCAACAGAACTTTGCAAATAGATATAAATATGCTTGGTCTCAGGGAAAGTGTGTCTGATATGCATACGCTGTATAGAATCAGGAAAACTTTCATGAATAATCCGACCGATCTCAACATAGCAAATCATATAAATAGATGCTATTCAGTTTTAGTGAAGGCTGTAGAGCAGCAGAGATGTCAGCTATGTTTGTTTCATCACAAATATTGTGATATTTGATATTTGATTAGATTCCCAGCTCCTGAAAACAGAATCTCAGTTTTACTTCCAGCTTTCTTGGCTGGAAAAAAAAATGAAAAGGTGAAATGACATTTTGAAAACAAAAGTCAGAAACAGCTTCATTTTCTCTCCAAGGTGTCTAAGCCAAACTATTTTTGAGATCTTGATTTCTCAGTTTTGAAATATTCAGACTAGTACTACTGGAATCAGGCTGAGAGGTTACCTCTGCACAGTTCTGTAGGACCATCCACAATGCCACTTTTGTGGCCAAATTCTCCGATCCCAGGCAGCAACACAGGAGCACTTTAACTGCTATAATGTATAATCTACAGTATCTGTGCTTTAGAGCGCACACTTTTTGTAAGGTGACCTGCCACATGCATTTCTATGAATAGAGGTTGTTGTCAGGGCTTACCAGAGCAACTCTTGCAGCCAGCAGGCGAAACTGTGTTACAAAACCTAAAGAAAAAAATGGCAGAGCCAATACCATCAGTCAGGGCAGTGGAATGGCAGGATGTGATTCTGAGGAGGGAGCTGAGTTCCTCACCTTGGGCTCACAGTAGACCAGAAAGTGGTCTTTGAACAGACCTTTAACTGTGCTCCCCCCTCCAGTGATGTAAATCTCAGTGCTGGGATTAGAGCCCCAGGAAGAAGTAAACTGAGACATGCAGTAAGAATGGATCTTACTGGTGTTGGCACAGTTATCTGAGGATGTCTGAGGAGAATTCTCCCCGCAGCACTAGCTGACCTGGGTACATGGCAGTCTTGGGTTGAGTGTACGTGAACAGTCAAGGTGATGGTTCGCAGGAAGAGAAATCTAGGAGACGTGGTAAGACTGGTGCTCAGAGGCTGCCAACATAATTTAAAGTGAGGCTGAAAGCAAAATAAACTCATTGTTCCTTAAAGCTGCACTTAGCATTTTAAGGATGAAGACAATCACAGCATAGAGGATCTGTTTCTACAGTTGCAGCAGTAACACACAAGAAGTAATTTTATAAGTTATCCCTTGCCTTCCTTGTGCTCTGCCTGTTTTTAGCATACATGGTTTTACAGATGTAGGCATCCATTTGGCACAGTTAAGGAAGAAGATGTATACAAGAATTCATCTGTCATGGATTCCTTCAAGGATTTTGACGGATTTTTCTTTGTTAAGAAAGCCCCTTATTAACCATGTTAGACAAAACTGTATCGATGCTTTTTAGCAGTGATTAAACCATGCTTGTCAGATAAGAAAAGCTTCTTTAAGTGATGCGGCACAGGTCATTGTGCCTATAGTTTACAGACAGAAACAGATTAGGCTATCAATCCAGTGCTTTCTCCATCTTTACAAGAGGAATTTGTAACAAGTCTCGGGCATGGAGAACTGTTTGCTGTACAAAGAAGTAGAGCCTCCTGCAGCCAGAAAGCAGGAACCTGCGAGCAGCGCGGGGTACCCCCTGTGCCAGCCTGCACAGTGAGCTGCCTGCCCCAGGGACCAGGCTCCGGCTCTGCAGGAAAAAGCTCGGTGATCTGAAAGAAACAGCTCTTGTGAAAGAAGGAGAATTTATTTACGTGTTGCTTTATCTGGAATTCAGGCAAGCTCTCAAGTATTCTTTACATTAACATAGCAGACATCACCATCTACTTCTAAAATGCAGTAGGGGGTGAACATACACCAGAAGCGTTTCCCTCTGCCATACCACTGGGCTCAGTGCTCACTCCCATCTGCACTGCTTTTTACCATCCTCTGTGATGCAGAAACGGGGGGATAGCCAGGACTGTCAGGGCCTTGTCCTGGAAAGTGGGAGTTGGTTACCTACATACTCTCCAGCTGAGGAGGGAATAAAACTCCTACTTCTTCAGTGAGTGTTTTAGTCACTAATTATATAAAACGTGAGCACTTCATTACTGTTTTGGGTGAAGGTACAATGGGCCAATCCTCTGAATGCATATGATGTATACTGTAGGCATAATATAGACTCCCTGCAAAAGACTCCTTGGGGACATAAGTGATGCTTTGCCTGGTTTCTCAACTGTAACAGGTTAAGTTGAGAACTAGATGAGTGGTTATTGGAGTGGGAGCAGTTCTGGGCATGCCAAAAAGCAGAACTATGGATGCTGGAGGAATGATCAAAATATAAAGAAGGCACCTGGGCTGCTGCAGCACTGGGCAGTTGTATGCTGTAATTTTCAGCTTAGGTGATTAAGTCCATCTGTCATAGATGCCTTGATTTCTTTTCTTGATCTGTCTTTGAATCCTTATTTAATACATTTTATCTCCTAAATGTAATGTTGACTTTCCAGCTGAAAAAAAAAACAGTTCTGTTTATTTCACGTGTGAGATGGCTGTTGCACTTCACAAAGAGATGAACTGCATTTTGCTTCTGCAATACTAACTGCAATTAACAGTTGAATCCAGAACAATCAATTCATTGAACTGGAACTAATTACATGTCACTTAACAAAATTACTTGAAAACCCTAGAACAGGATTTTTAAAGGAACTTCCTGTAAAAATAACATTTGTCAGCTGACCAACAAGAATTGCAGATCAAGGCCTCTTCTACAAAAGTCTCCAAATTCAGTGGCTGAGGTCTCGTGTTAATCGTCCCCTCTTGAAATGAAAAAAACACTTTGTGATAAAAGTAACTTGGGAGAGGGTCAGGATGATAATTTAAAAATGTTTGTTTGTTTTAATAGTAGTGTCTCTGAGTTCCCAACCTTTACAGTCTCTGATTTCTCTCTATTACTGCTGCTACCAATACCTTCCATTTCTATAGTACCTACAGTCCTAAAGAACAAGAAGAGGTGGTGGGACAGCATGGGCAGCAGTACAGGTAAGAGATCACTAGGAAAACCATTTCCTTTCTTTACATTCCAATCACAAAGTACACAAGGATAAATATCCATATGGAAAAGTTGTGCCAGAAAGTAGTGATTCCTCTGAACGGACAGAAATATTTTGCCCTTTAAAGCAAATCAGATTAACGTTATCTTCATATTTCATTTCCTTAATTCATTTCTTGTGCTCCTATCTATAACTTTCTTCCAAGTAAATCTTTTTTTCTGCTTCCCTTCAAACTCCTGTCCCTGGAATCTGGTGACTGGCCACCACTAACGTTTCTTGCTCTGCTGTTAGCTGTGATTGCATTTTCTTTCCCTTCTAATATTAAATTATCCCTTACCAGAGGATTTCTCTAATTTATATACCTAATCCCTTCTTATAAATCTATTTCTGACTGTTTAATGTTATAGAAGACATTTGCTAAACATACATTTTGTTAAATAGGTGATCTACTGCCAGCTTTCCACAGAGATCACACATGATACATTAACAATACAGATGATGTAATTGTTAAAAGTTGCTTTGCTCAATTGCTTTCCCCCCACCTAACATCCCCACTCTCTCTTAAAGTACATATTTTATTACCTGAGTCACCTCTTGTGTCCCTTGTGAGGAGATGCCCTGGAGGATGTCAGCGTCTTAAATGTCCCAGTGTAGTGCCCTCTGGAAGCTCCCTGCACTCAGCACTTGACATAGTGTGCTGCCAGGAAGGGGAGTAGCAATCCCAGCTCATCATCAGTGTTGTGACTTCTGGATGACAAAACAAGACAAAACAAGGTGTTTGTTGTTGTTTGTTTTTTGTTTGTTTGTTTGTTTTGTTATAGTACTGTGGTGGTTGTGATAGTCTAATTTCTGAAGATACAGAACAATGAGATTGCTGGAGAAAAAAAAACAGATACACTTCTGACTACACAAACTTATTTAGTCATTAGAAGCCCAAGTTTGGAAACCAAAGTAAAACAAACGAGAAAGTTGAACGAGAACTTTAGTTTAACAGACATGTTTCTTTCTATTTGTTTATCCTTTCTCCTAGAACTGGTGTCCTCCTGGTTTTCTTCAAGTGAGGGGCTACTCACCACAACAGCCCACTTTCAAGTTCTTCATTTCTGTTCTTAAAAACCTTCCTTTCCATTTACTGGATTCAGGCTTTGGAAAACAAGCGCAAATGACCTAGATGGTTGTACCTGGAGCATCGACTGATTCCTCCCTCCAGACCTTTACTTACTCAGGCAGGAACACGTGAGCTATACAAGTGTCAAAGATGGTGCTCATCACTTTCAAGCAGAGTTGAAGCTGAGCAAAACAGTTGCCTGTGCAGGCAAACAGAAACATTTCACCAGACAAAGAGCTTGTACTGGCACAAGTGGTCTGGTAAAAGGGGCATCAGGGAGAGTGAGACACTGTAAGCCAGTGCCATCACACACTGCTACTTTTTGTCAAGTCTGGTAAAATGATGTGGCTAAGCACAAAACTGCACAAATGCCGTGTCTATGTGATGAGAAGACCTGACAGGAGGAATCCCTCCTTTTTAGCAAGGGAGTGGATTTTTGCCTGGTTATGATGACTGTGTAGTCACAGCCCAAGGAATACTATACAAGGTGACTCTAAGTCAAAAATTAGCCTGTCCAGTCCTTAAATGCTTCTTCTGAGACTGTGTGGTAGTTTCACTCTGATGGGCAGCTGAACCCCACCGCAACTGTTCTCTCACTCCCTATCCTCAAAGGAAAAGGGGAAGAATATATGATTAAAAGGACCCAAAGGTTGAGATAAGGACAGGGAGATCACTCGCCAATTGCCATCACAGGCAAAACAGACTCAGCATAGGGAAATTAATAATTTATTCCTATTACTGATAGACTAGAGCAGTGAAAACTAAAAGCAAACTAAAAACACCTTTCCCAATACACACCATCTTCTACCTCCTCTCCCCAAGCAGCGCAGGGGAACAGGGGATGGGGGCTGCAGTCAGTCTACAGCATTTCGTCTCTGCCCGCTCCTTCACGGTCACTCCCTGCCCCTGCTCCACATGGGGTCCCTCCCACAGGATGCTGTCCTGAGGGGGCTGCCCACAGGCAGCAGCTCTTCAGGAACTGCTCCCACACAGCTCCATGGGATCCATTTTCCAGAAGCAAACTGCTCCACAGGCTGCAGCTCCGGCCCGGGGCCTGCTCCTGCAGGGGCTCTCCATAGGCCGCAGCCTCCTCCAGGCCAGATCCACCTGCTCCACCGGGGGCTCCTTCACCCGTGGGGGGGCTGCAGCGTGGAGATCTGCTCCATGTGGGACCCATGGGCTGCAGGGGGACAGCCTGCTCCACCAGGGGCCTCTCCACAGGAGAACAGCAGGGGTACTGCTGCTGCCTGCCTGCAGCACCTTCTGCTGCACTGACCTTGGGGTCTGCAGGGCTGTTCTTCTCACATTTTCTCACTCCTCCAGCTGCAGTTAACAGCAGTTTTTTCTCTTTCTTCAATCTGCTCTCCCAGAGGCCCAACCAGCATCACTCCCATACCTGGCTCAGCTCTGGCCAGCAGCGGGTCCCTTTTGGAGCAGCTGGAGCTGGCTCCAATCTGGCATGGGGCAACTGCTGGGCTTTGCTTGCAGAGGCCACTCTGCAGCCCCCTGCTACTAAAACTTTGTCATGTAAAATCAATAAAGACTGCCAGAAAAAGTGGGCAATAAATGCTATAACCCTGTTTAATCTTGGCAGCCCTTTTTACATTGCAATTATTTTTCTATTTTTTCTATTAATTAGGTAGATGTTAACAAGTCATTGAACTGAAGCCCCAAAACTTATCAGATGGAAGTTACTTCCCTACTTTCTAAAAAAAAAAAAAAAAAAAAAAAAAAAAAAAAAAAAAAAAAGTCTTTTATTAACTAAACTAAGCTCAGTGCAAATTCTAAACTTTTTTTTTTTCTTTTTCCCCCAAAATTCACATGCCATCTATGTGGTTAGTAGGGAAAGGAAGGTCTCTAAAACACGTGTTACATTATGTTAGGTATGACCTGGTTTATCCAGTGACTTGGTGCAAGATAAGCTATTTAGGCAGTTTGTCTGGAGCTGGTGCCACCACAGCACAGGATGGACAGTAAGCCTGGGCTGTACATTTAAGCTCCCAGAGATCCATTATAATTCATTATAAGTTTTCTGCCTTGCCACTCTCATTCTCTCATTGAAGATATTCATCCTTTTTTTTTTTTTTTAAAAAAAGTCTGAAAAAAAACACAAAATGCTGTAAAAGTTCAGTACAATCTGTTGTTCTTTACCCTGTCTCTGCATTAAGACTGTGGCCAGGTGCTTTAAAATGGAAGAGACGCTGTGCATCTACAATTTTTGGGTGTCCCCAGAAGCTGCAGGTTCTCAGCCTCTCGAAATCTGGGCCACAATTTCCGTATTTATGAGTTTCAAAATTCTCTCTGAGTTTTTAACAAAACTAAATTGTGTTTTGCTGTCATGAGAATCCACTATGATAAAGAGAGATCTGATAAAGCACTAGGAAGTTTCCTCTTTGTGTATAAATATTTATGTATGTAAATGGGTGTACGGTTAATTATAACTGACAAGAAGAGACTGACACCAACTCAGATCCTCTGTCCCCGTGGAGAGATACAAGTTCCTTGTTGAAGTGTTGTGGCACATCTCATGGGCTGTGTACTGAATCATTGATTAAATGCAGCAGCATCTGGGTAGCTAAAATGCCAGGGACTGCTGAAGAAGGAGGGAAGAATGTGCACTGAATACTGAAGAACAGAGAAATCATCCGGTTTGCGTTTCTTGATATTTCATAAGTTGCTCAAGAGCTGAATTGTTTGTTTTCTGATTGTGTCTCACTGAAGTGGACAGACCACCTTGCTCAGATACACACGCAGAACACGGTCCCTCACCCAGGAAAGAGTTAGGAAGCAATTTAGTAAGAAGGTAGCACAGGCTGCACTTAATAGGCACGGACAGTGTGAAAACCCGTACAGCTGGCTCCTTCAGTGCAGGCAGACTCTCTAAATCTGCTTATGTATTTGGAAAAGGTTTGCATACAGCTAACATTTTTGAATGAGGCTTGAGTATCTTTGTTATCTCTGTTTCCTGTTTTTCCCCTTATTTCTGTTACACTCGTTACTGGACTTTGTGCTTATGGGTAAACTGTTCTCTCTGCTGTTAGGTACATCAGCAGGATAGGTCCTTTTTACTTTGGCTTTTATCCTTTACTAGTCTTAAAATGCCATCTGAAGGGAAGAGAAATGCTTGGATGTAATTTACAGTGCTGCTTGGAATCATAGGTGTATGTATTTAATTTTAAGTATCTATTTAATAACTATTTACAAGTAAACATATAAAGATGTGTAGCTGAAGAGACAGAATACTCCTGCATGACAGTTTTGGGACATGGAGGAGAGCTATTTCCTTTTAATACTTCAACTTGCTTTCCTAGCATGGCATCACTCACTGCTCCTGCATTCCTTGAAACAATAATATTTTTAAGTGTGCTGCATTTTGTTTTTCTCTTTTTGTCATTTCATGATGAATGACTGTGGGATTTGTCAAATGCTGCCTGAAACATCTTTTCTCTAACACGATTTCTAAAAGTGTTTCCTTGTGTTTTTGTTCTTTTGTTTTTCTTTTTTTTCTTCTTTTTTTCTTTCTCGTTATAACTCTTACTTCCTCATTTTCTTAAAAGCATTGTTCTCTCATGGTCTATATTCAGCATGGCTATTATCTTCTTCCTTTTCACCTGCTTTCCCACTTTGAGTCCCTTGTTTCTCTGTTAACCTGAGGGACTTAAATCATGGAATTACAGAATTTTCTTCTTTAAGAAATAACATTAGCACATAGTTTTCTTTCCTGTTTGAGAGCATGCCTTACATAGGCAGATGGCATAGAGAAGCCTTCAATGTCTGTTTGCTTTTTGTGAGCAACTGGGCCATAACATCAGACTGTCACACCCATCCAGGCTGAGAAAGAACTGGCACCATGGCTTGAAATTTTCAGAGAAATGGCTGAGACAGTTGAGGTAGTACCGAGAAGCAGAAAGATAGTAAAGATAGGATGAGGTGAAAGGTTTTGCAGTGAAGCTGTGGGAACAGTTTCCGAGCAGCCCAGAGCCAGGGAGTGGCAGCTCTGGGTGTTCTTCCAAATTCTTCTGAAGAGACACGGTGCTGCTGACACCAAACACTGGCTATGGGGTCAATAACTGCATCTGGCATGGACACACATGGTGAGGGAAGACTGCTGGCACAGCCTACTGGAATCAGCAGCTTGGGCAGAGGAAGGGACGAGATCCGAGAGATGTAAACCCCACAGCATTTCCTACTCCAGTGGGATGCCCCTGTATGTCAGCCTGCACCTTCAGACTTCACTGAAACCTAGCAGGCCTGCAGAGCCAGCATAGCTCTAGCATTGAGCTCCTGCAAAACTCACTCTTCATAAAGTCGAACAGGCAAGTACTTGCAAGCACAGCTGGCTCTGTAGCTTCCATTCCAAAACCATTCTTGCAATCTACAGCTCTCACTGTTTGCTTCATGTAAACTGTGGCATTGGTCTGTCTTTATTGTATCCTTCCCAAAAATCTTCTGTGTGCTGGATTCAGAAGTTACTAATACAAACTTCACCCTTGAAAGAGTCCTTTAGGCACAGTGATTTTCAAGCCAATCTTCCATTTGTGTTACTGCTGTTAATGGGGGATTTGTCACCGGGCTTTTACTGCCTCCTGCTCATTGAACTTTTGTACTCCTAGCAGCCTTATTTCTTTTGGCCCTGCTA